GGTGATTCTATATCACGCTTTGGAGATTTGCACTGGGAAGAATGGAATGTGAGTCAATATGGTATTGCAGTCCTGCTGCATCAAAAAGTTTTTGGGGTCGTTTTCAAGAAATTTGATTGGAACCCAGAATTTAATCTTGCTCATTTAGAACTTCAATTTTCTCATAAGGTGAATTTCAGAACGGGGATATTAATTGATGATCCGAAGGAGAAGATATGTGAAGCAGTGGAGAACTTTCGTGTTGATTTTCTTGTGATGGGTTCCTGAGCTTTTGGCCCTATATGTTAGCTAATATTGTTACAAACATTACTTTTCTGTGGAATTGACTGTGCATATTGTTAGTGTGGATTATATGGTGGTTTGCATCAAGAACTATAGAGGAAGAAGATCCTTCCTTTAATTTAGCTATGATAAAGTTTTTGAAGGGTCATTGATTAGGATGCTATGCAGCAATGTTGAGTGGATTGAGTAGAAATAGAGTAAGAGGGCTATGCATGCTTGAAGTAACATGATAACGTGATGGTACCGATAACCATGAAAGATTTAGCAGAAAACCTCAGTTTTAGATGACCTTAGTTATTTATAACAACTCCGATTGATTGGTAGTATGATGTGAGCTCATTTGGAAAGGATTATAGTTAACAACTTAATTCTTACTGGAACCGAAGTTAAAGATAAGTGCATTCTTCTTTACTTTGAAACTTGACTGAAATGCATTGTGATTCATCAAAGTGTGGAATAATGAAATTGATTTATGTTAACAAGATGTTTCTGGGAAGTGTAAGCAACTATTGTTTCAACCATGCGCAATGTCCTGTTTTCTTGGCTAAGAACAAGAACAACTCTTCTTAATTACTAGCAGGTATGATGACACCAACAAAATGCGATAAAACATATTTCACCTTTTCCTTTATTTCCTCATTGTTTTCGATATTATATTAATAATTTACACTTAATTTTCTGTGGATGACTGTTTTCCATTTGAAGCTTGTTTTTCCTTATTTACAACACTGCAAACTAAGTACTACAAATAGTTCTGGAGTAGTGAACCTCAACTAAATCATCCATAAGCTGGTAAAATATGAACATAGGACAGTCATTAAATACAACAAAAGTATCGTCCGGTTCATGTCTACACTTTTAGCAAAAACATTAGCTACCATGTTAGCTTCTATGCACATGCTCGATTTAATGTTGGGGAGTAATTAACGCTTCTCATTCATGTCTATTTGTTTACATCTTGTGCTAATATTGTTTAGTAAAGTTGTGGATTGGATTTGTGACACATGACTGCTAACTTTTTCCTATTCAGGGGGGAGTTGCTTCATACTTGAGATTGGGGGCACTTCATTACAGGCTCTGCTGCGCTCTTCTCTTCCTTCAGAAGCGTTTTTGATTTGATAGAAAAACTTCTAGCATGCCCTCCTATTGCTTTGGTAAATAATACATATAAATACACTGATCCTGTTGGTTTATAGAGTATGTATGTGCCCATGTTTATGCATAATAGTTCTGATTCTCTAAATAAGGGTGCAATTGTGCAAACTATAATTGAAAACTTTCAGTTCATTTTCAAGTATACCTGATATATATTATTCTGCTGTGTACTTTTCTTCTTGGTCTTCATGTTAGATTTTACAGGCTCATAGACGTGAAGTCTAACTGTTATATAAATCATTGGATTTACTTTCAAACTCTACTTTGGATAAGCTAGGGGAAAAATGTGAATTGCA